AGCTCATTAATGTCAATCTACTCCTTAACAACCAATCTCCTGGGTAAGTAAATAGATCTCTGGCATTAGTTGATCAGACATTCCATTTGAACACTTTTTGAGTGCTGGAACGTCTAAGATCTAATACCACATGGTTAATGCTAAGATAGCATTAAGATCTCCTAATCCAGAAGGTATCTACCTAAATCTATAGTTAAGCAACCCCAGAAACTAAGATTCCTCATCACCTAACCCATCCTATAAACCCTAGAAAGACAACTCAGATCTGGAGTTCATCATGAAGAACACAAACCCAGAAATCTTTGAATCTTGCATAACTAGATCGATAATGATCTAAGGAGCAAGATATTGTAAAGAAACAACTCCAAATTCTCAATAGATAAAAAGATATAAAGATTACAAGTTTCTGGAAATGTTTGGTGGCTACAGAGAAAAACCCTAATGAAAACTCGTTTTTAGCTTAATGACCCAAGGGGTCTATTTATACTAAGGGCAAGAAGCCCTAAAACACAAAAAGACAAATTACAAAGTCGGTTTAAGGTGAGCTCAGTCGGGTGCTTGTTGGGCTCGTTCGGGTCCATGCTCGGCTTGTCCGTGTTAAGCTTCCTCTTGTGATCCCGGGTGATCGATTGTGCTCGCTTGGTCGGATTGGACACACTCGATCGGGTCCATGCTTTTCAGTGTCCGAGTGTACCTGTTTTTGCTCTAAAATGCAGATGATATGAAATCCCTATGCTAAAGATCCTAGATGCGAAATATAATGCAAAGAGACTAGAAATCCTAAGAAGTAGAGACCTAGACATGCAAATAATGCACAAAACATATGCTTAAGAGTATAAAAATATAAGGTTATCAACTCCTCCAAACTTATTCTTTGCTTGGCCTCAAGCAAATTCAAAGTAGGGAGAGAGGTTTGAAGGTGGGGACTCAGAACCAAAACTTGCTGCAAAAGAGTTTAACACCAATGTCCTAGTTCGTAATTCTAGAATGAAATTCAAAGGCTGTACTCTGAAGACATTAGCCATTCCTATTTCAACACAAGATGTCATCAGCCTCATAACCTAGACAAGCAATCAAGTCAGCCATCCTTTTTAACATTCATTAAGTAGCAACAGTGAATCTGGATGTGAATTTGAATTTAAACTCATTTGGCTAGGCAAGTAAAAGGTTTAAGAGATAAATAGAGACTCTTTTTGGTGAGGGTTTAATCGTTCAAGTGCTGGGATCTCTCTATGAACAAGATTGAGCTTTTGGGAGAATGCTAAAGGTAAGGACCAACAAATGCATATAGGAATAACATCTTGACTACCCAAAGTACCCAAGTTATATCCTAATCATCTAAACTCATATGATCCTATTCTACCCTTTAACTCTTTTCATCCCAATTTCCCTTTTTGTTCTAAGTCTAAGGAGAGTTTCTTATGATAAACTTGTGGATAGGGGGTTTTCTTTATAAACACTATGGTTCTCTTTCTTCTTAATACTTAAGACATAGAAGCATTTTGCTATCTTCACACTTTTCTCTCTTTCTTTTAAAATCCAGAACCATTTCTTTTGTATACTTTGCATTCCCCACTTATCTCTCACTAGAACCTTGATCTTTTCTGAAACTTTTACTCTCCTAAAGACTCAACTCATTCATTTATTCTTTTCTTTTCTTTTCACCATCCCAACAAATCCCAAAACCCAAGTAGAATCCATCCTAGTCCTATCTGATCCGAAAAATGCAAATCAGAACTACTCAAGACCCTATTCCTGTCGGCTCAAACCTAACACGTTCTCTTAAAGTTCAATCCCAAAAAATAGGCCTTCCACTCAGAATTAAAACAAAGGCTTGAAGGAAAGGTTAAGGTTTTTAGAGTGTGGATAACTGGTCAAGGTTATGACCAGCTACTTGGATCAACAAGAGAGTGGTAAAAAGAGGGAAAGAAAATCCAAGTATGTATACAAGGTATCCATGAGTTTTAAAAAAATCACAATTAGATAATTATCAATTCAAGTTAAGGTTCTTATAAGTAAAGGATTGCATCATATCAAAGCAAGCTTCAGTTTAGACTAGAATTCAAATCATGCGATCAAAGAATGGTGCGGTCTCATTTCAAGCTCAAATGAAAGCATTAAACAACTATGAACGAAGGCATTGGTGTTAAATCTAATGAAACAACAAGTTCTTTGGTTATAATCATCATAATCCCCTATGCTAATGCAATGATCCTAAATGCAACAACCTTAAAGCAAGACTAATATGCAAATGCAACTATATGAACACTCTGTTTTTTAAAGGCGTTTCTGAAATTTTTCAAATTTTTAGGGGTTTTTTGATGCACATAGATGAATGCAAGACTAGATGCTAAAAATTCGAAATAAGAAAATAGAAAACATTTCAAATGCTATCTTAAGCTCTCCCCCAAACTTAAATTACACATTCCCTTGTGTAATAAAAATTTGAAGGAAGGCTTAGGATCAAAATGAAATTTTAAAAATGCAAGGATGTATTTACAAAGTTTAAGGGTAATAGAATTACCTCTTGGGTGGTGGTCCAAACCACGAGCTCATGACGTCGAGGCCTGCTGCTACATGCTCGGTTTGGATATTTTCAGAGTCGACTGCGAGGTGATAGGCTGACCCGACCGGGTGTGAAGAGCCGGCCCGATCGGGTGTGCGTTCGGGTAAGGTGCTCGTGTCAGCTCCCGGTTCTCTTCTGGTTCTGAACAGACTTCTCCTCGGATCAAATGAAGCTCTAGGCGGGCTAACTGGTAGGTTGGACTTGGTATGTGTCCTGACTGATGCACTCCTCCCCAAATTACTAGACATGGCTGTAGTGGAGGTTGAGCATCCAACCTTGTTCTGAAGCTCCTTGATCTGCTCCCCCATATCCTTAACTGTTCCAGCAAGATCCTTCACAGTGTTCTTCAATGCCGTGATAGTCTTGCTTTGGAACTTGTTCCACTTCTGAAGGATGCTAATTTTTTCATGAGCTTCCTTTACCCCCCTTGACTGCTTAGAGGACTCTTCCCACTCGTCAAAATAGAAGTCCTCTTCCTGGTCTTCCCTAGCAGGCTCTTCTTCTCTGATCTCAGGTGCATAGGTTTGTTGCGCTGACTCGAAGCTAGGAACAGGATCTTGGACTGACCTCGGGTCATATAACGCTGAGACGGGTGGCCAAAAGTCGATATTAGCACCCAATCTGATCTTTGTAAGCTCGGTGTTAGGCAACACCATTCTTGCTGCTCCAAGTGAAGGGTGGGTGAACTTATATAGATAAAACCCGTTGGGACACTCGCTATCAAGGAAGTGCGTCCTTGTTAAAGTCTCAATGTCAATCCAACGAGCGTTGTAAACCTTCCCCCGTAATTCAACATCACAAGCTACCAATAGCGGGGTGACTAGTCCACCAATACTGAGCTCTCCTTGCACACCTCTCCTAACAGCTTTAAATACCCAATCCTTGCAGTACATCAGCTAGTTTAACAGAACCGAGACCATGCTACCATCCATTTTATCTCCTACTAGTTCTCTACCATCCCTAGTACTTGGCAATACACCACTCAATACTATATCTATGAGCTGGATCTCACTCTCGTTCACATTCCCGGTCTCCTTTCTAGCAAAAATCGTACTAGCCAAGGACTTATGGAAATACCTCAAAGCTGGATTTCGGATTTGGGCGCTCTTGGATTTCGAAGAGGTGTACTCCTTCCCATCTCCATTTGTTTTCCAAACAGACTTGATCTCCTCCTTAAGCACATCTTGGCTCATCCCGCTTGCTTGCAAGAACCCATAGAGGTTTTCAACTTCCTTAAACGTGAGAGAATAGGTAGTGCCCCTCACGCTGAAGGTTATGTATCCAAGGCAGTCATCTGAGTGGAAATCGGTTTCATCCTCGTAGAAATGGAGCTGAAGTGAAGCCAACACGTAGCACGTCTCCTCGTCGTAGGCTTCCAAGGTTTTAGTCATGAATGAGCCAATGCCGCTTCTCTGGAACAGAA